CACGCGACTTGAACACGCCTCTTGAAAATGCTTTTCGCTGTGAGATTCTGTGTAACCTTCACGAGCGTGACGTGTTGACGACTTCCAAGCAGAGCCCAGACTCGGATACAGAGCCAGATTCTCAGAGCGGCAACAACACGAACAAAAACAACGACGAGTGAGCACATAAAACACAGAGCTCGAGTGATTGCCAAATGACATCAGCATTTGGTGCTGAGAACAAAAGCACGCTTCAATATCTTGTAGATACGCGCGGGTATAGCAAAAAAAAGTATCTTGTAGTTTGCATATCGCACAGTCGACAGGTGCTAGAGATTTCTATGTCAGTGAAAGCCGCAAAAGAAGCCCCAAGGTGCCTTTTTTTTGTTGTTTTTAATTTTTTTGCTCATTCATAATTTATATTAATTATAAACAAAAGCCACATCAGCAGCTGTTACTTTTGAGATACTTTGCGGTTACGCTTGCTGCTGGTAATCCGAGTTGTGAGCTGGGCAACCGCATGTGATGCTAATTGATCAGTGACTAAATGTTTGGTGTAGAGGAAATGCCTCAAGTTACCTGTTGCATATATAATATATATTATCTAGAATTATATTATATGCCCACAATTTAGTGGGCAATTAAGTAAAACTCGGCGTTTTTCAATTGCGCTGCGTGACAAATTGGTTTGTTGTTCCCGTTGATTGGTTAGAAAACAATTTTAATTGGCTTTAACTGTTCCAATGAAACTAAAATAAACATTTAAACATTTAATTATGTGGCTTGAAACATTCTGAGATTAGTAATTAGATAATTTGAGGTTTTGATATTCTAAGATTTCAAACCAAAAAAAAAAAAAAACGTATTAACTGTACAGCATTTCTTTAATTTATTACTTTTGAAATATTTTTTTTTATTATTTGAAAATATTTTTTCAATATTTATTTACATTTAATTTTATTATTCATAAAAATATATTTAGAAATTTTTGATAGTCTTTAGTCTTTTTAAATATTGGGCTGTTTCTTTTAATTTAATTTGAAATAATTGAAATAATCGTTTTACATATTTCTTTTGCTTTCTTTAACTTTCCAATTTACAGTTGTAAATTTTTGATAATTTTAATTTTAACAACAAAAAAAGCTAAGTTACTTTTTTTGGTAATTATATTTTATGTAATTACTTAAAGAAGTATATTTAATTCGTTTAGGATTAACCAGTTGTAATTCCCAAATTTTGTAATACATATTCCGAAAGCAGATAAAATATCTATGCAGCAAATTTTAATTTTCATTTTCATTTGTACAGTTCTCATATTTGTTAAGAAACCAAAATGTCAACAGTTTGAATAGGTTTATGCAATTGCTTATCTCCCTAATGGGTTCTGATAAGAAATGAAAACGTAGGTCACTACTTTGACGATAACTTATCGCAGTTTCGGCTGCCATGCGCACTCGTTAGTGCAACATGTGGCATGCCTTAGAGAGCAGACTACACGCCATCAACTGGTAAACTGACACCAAAGACGACAAGCCCACGTGACCTTCAGACATGTGTCCATGTGTCGAATGTGTGCTGTGAGTTCTCAGTCTCAGAGTCGTTCTGGTTCCCTCTTTTGGTTAACTGTGCCAAGCCGAAAGTGATGCCACAAATCCGCTCGAAGGTGAAACTTGGCCACTTGGAACGGCGACGCAGCTGGCTGCACTTGTTACACGGGGAGACAATCGGAGGCTTGTTTGTGGACAGACAGCTGTCCATCTTGACTAGCACCTTACCATGCTAAGCCCCAACTGCTTTTTGTTGAGCTCAGCTGTTTTGGTCAATGAACCCCAATACGATCCACTAGAACCTGTTCACTGCGCTCCAATTACTCAAGACGCCCTCCCAGTGACATTGAAAGATCTTGGCAAAGTGCAGGCCTCTTAATTACTTGCCATGAATTGAGCTATAAGCCGTAAATAAGAGCGCATATTTGGACAGCCTTATCGGCGAACATTTCCCATAAAGCCTAATAAAAAAGTATTTTACGCAAGACGCGTGCTCAAAAAAAACGAGCAAAGCTTTAAGCTTGATTTGTGTGCGTGGGTATCGGGCATTTTATATAAAAAAAATAAACAAATTAACTGAATAATATGAGAAGAGTTTCAGATACAAAAAAAATGCACGCACATCAGCGTCTTGGCATTTGTTGAGTGGGTGGCGAAACAAATTGCTGTGCAAAAAGCAGTTGAATATGGCAAGATCTCAATGATTCAGTTACTGAATCAGCCACTCGAAAGGATTCGTATCCAAATATATCGAAAAACGTTATATATATAATGTCGTAGTATGATGTCGTTTTAGCTATTGAGCCACTCATTAATAGAAAATGGTTTCCAAATGCTTCTCAAATGCATTATCTATACAAACCTAATTACTTATGCACGTCCGTAGAGTTCTTATAGATATAACTTTATTTGAACTCTGCGCCTTTTAAGTGGTGCCCAAGTGCGGCTTCTGACTTATGCACATGCACAGCACAGCACAGCACAGCACAGCCCAGAAACCAATCTCGGTTCTATTAGTCATTTACCACATCCGATTGGCATGCTAGGCACGTTCAGAGCTGTCCCCTCTGTCCCCGATGGGGTATATCATATATGGCGTATAAGTATGTGTCCCATTCATATGCACAATAAAATCAAGCCAGTTGCGCTTGTAGCTGCTAAATGAAACGAGATATTTTTATGAGTGCGGCGCAAAAAATAAAAACCTTTCAACTTGAATTATGCACAATAGGCATATAAATATTTGGTTTTATCTAGCTAAATGCTTTTGGCATAAATTAAGATACACATTTATCAGCTGTTGCCTATGTGAACGGGTTGCAAGCACGACGAATATGACACTCAAAAAAATTACTTATAGAATCGCTGAGAATTACCATTAAGTTATAGAAAAATGTTTGCCCATGAATCTGTAGAATATAAAACTATTCGTTTCTATTTTAAATAACTTTTGACAAAAAGTTGACATAAATTATGATAATCAATAAGTAAACATATCATTTAGTTTTATAATAATTTGTAAAATCAATAATTCTTTCAGAACAGCTTTGAAAAGTAAAATAAAATTTTAAAAATTTGTTTGCAATCCAAAGAAAATTATTCCCAAGCTCATATTAAAAATATATAACATATTGTAGAATCAACTGCGCAACCATTTCCTTAATGTTCTTAGGATTGCCTGTAAATAAAATATTTGTTTAGATTCCTTATTAAACTATTTTCCATTATTAAGAGGTACTTTTTTTTTTGAGTGTACGAATACAAACTAACGTGTGCTATCTAAGTAACTTTTTAATATCTCGACATATGACAACATGTATCAGTAGATTCAGTTGTCGCTGCACATAAATATTGGCAGGCATGTCATTCGATTAATTTATGGGTTAATATGTTCCTTTGCAAGCATGTGGGTTGCATTCACAACTATCTGAGAGATAAGCGCAGCAAATTCGTATAATTAACCTATGATTAACGCAACTTGTTTGCCATGAACTCCATTTTGTTAAGAACCAGCATTCAGTCAAATAGTTAAAGGCCGTGACCATTAAAATAGCCAAATATGGCATAATTAGAAGAGAAGCGTTAATTGATATTTGAACACGCAAAATGGACATAAGCAACAACAACAACAACAACAACAATAAGCAAACTTCAAAAAAATTGGCAAACAAACCAAAGATTATTTTTATTTGACGGTCTCTCGACAATGTTGAAAGCTTGTCGAACGTAAAGATCAACACAGAGACACACAACAACAATAATACTAATAATGATGATGATGGTGATGATGATGATGATGATGATGATGGTGGTGGGGCTTGTGGTAGATACTTTTATGTACGCTTTTTCAATTGCCCAGCCACTGCGCTCAATGATGGAACTTAATGTTCACTTTCATTTGCAATTAAAGAGCTAGCTGCAAATTCTCAGACGAGCCGAGACTCAGTCGCTGTTCGATTCCCAAGCGTGTCGGCCATAAGATACAACTGATCTAGTTACAGATACATTGCGAACTTTTGCGGCGCAAATCAAGCGAACATTAACGGTAATTAATTGGCAATTCTCAAATATCCTCCTTCTCCCCTGCTCGTAATATGTGTTGTGTGTGTTGCGTGAGCCAAGCCCAAAAAAAAAAAAGAAAAACTCGTAAAATCGCCATCTAACTTTAGACGATTTCATCATATTCTGTTGTTGCGTTTGTTTTGCGTATTCATTAGATACACGCGGCGTGTGGTTGTTGTTGTTGCTGTTTCAGTTATTGTTATTGCTTGTTTTTTTTTTTTTGCAAATTAGCTAATATGCGCTTAGCCTCATTGGTGAATGTTTATTTTGAGGCTTGTACGTCATCGGCTTCAAGTTTTGTATCTTGCAGATACGTAAGCGCGCTCTACTCCTGCATTCAACTTACATTTTGTGGCATGGTTTATCAATCTACCCTTATATCTACGCAACATGCAACAATATGAACCAACAGCTGGGTGTCGAAAGCAGCAAGCAGCAAAAGATACAAAAGTATTTTTCTGATAGCTGACAAACTTTTACTGGCCATTAGCTTTACTTTTAAGCACACACGCCTTAAATCCACGAAACTGTCGTATATATATATGTATATATATTTATATATACAAATTCAAATCTCACGCTCTGACCTTTTGCAGATACGACAACGAATAAAGCGGAGGAGTGGACCTGTGAGAGACACCAACTCGAGACACCCACAACGATCGCAGCCCAGACTTAAATTATAAGCCAGGCTGCAACAAAATTTCCATATGATTTTGGAGATAATGTGAAAAACTTGCAGCCACAACAGGAACAGCAACAACAACGGCGAATACGAATTTCAAATGTAAGCCAACAACAAAAGCCGCTCAACATTTATTTCGGCTGAAACGTTTCGCGTGCCTTCAAACAAAAAAAAAGAATTGTGAAAACAAAAAAAAATATATAAATTTAAGCATTAGGCAAAATTATTACTAAAGTTTTTGAAAGTGCAGTGAAAACGAAATATGATTAATTAGCAAATGAGGCAAAAATCATTCGTTTATAAATATTGTAGCAAAGCGCGTTGCATGTGAGGGAAAGATTTTCGCCGCGCGTTTTTGAATCGCTCGCAACGCGACACAAAACGCGTGCGTTTTCTGTACTTTTGCGGAAGGTTCGAAAATTGTAGAAAAAATAAAAAACTTTTTTAAGCAGCAAGTTCATTGCATAAATTAAGTGGCTGCCAAATCTCTCCGCGGTTTTCCATTGTGAAAATGGAAATGGCAGCATCGGAGCCGCGCCAGGAGGCGATTTTTGTCGCCACGCCGCCCTGCACACCTCTCGTCACCAGTCTAACCCGCACGACAACGCCGCGCGATCTACCAACCATGTATCATTTTGATTTTGGTAAGTGCAACAGCTAACAGCCAATAAAATAACGAGCAGTTAATCAAGACTTAAGCAGCTGGCACTTTATAGCATCCCGCCAATTAGCATAAGTACAAGTATCTCCAATATACTTTAATTGAGTGGCACTTAAGTTCATTGGCTTTCATCAATTTATGCACAAACAAAACACCAATTCGTTAACCAAAATGCAGACTACAAGCTTTGGCTATGAAGTGCAGCTCCGTGTCGAGTTGCGGCTACTTCCGCGCAGGCGCATGCGAGCCGTTCAGAAGGAAGTGCTTCGAAAAGCAGCTTAGAAAACACACACAAAAAATATATGCATATAAATTTATTTAAATATAAAATATATATAAATATATATGGGAAACCCATGGAGGTGGGCGAGGCCATTTTTAAAAGCGACAAGCAATAAAAACCAAAATCTGGTGAAAATCAATAAAATAAAAATCTAAAAAATCCAAACACATTCAGCGCCACTTAAAACTCAATTAAATTCCAATTTTACATGAAAAAGGAACTGGAAATGAAAATGTTTTCCTGAATTACAACGAAAAAAGGCAATTAAAAGAAAAACGTGCATGGAATAGAATGGGAAATTGAAAAAACTTGAATGAAAAAACAAGTTGAAATTCTTAGAATGGGTTTTTTTTTAAACTTTTTTGTAAATTTATGAAAGCTGAAACAGGTAAAATCTGTGTAAACTATGATATTTTGGGTTTTAAAACTTTCCTGCTTGTATACCCTTGCAGAGGGTGTTATAATGTTGTCTCGAAATGTGTAACGTATAGGAGATATCTCCTTATCTCCAACTCCCTAAAGTATATATATATACTGTGTATATATATTGACCACAGCAGTCATATAGCTGCCATAGGAATATTTTGACAACACTCCCATTTTTATACCCTGAACCCATTAAAAATGGGTATAAGGGTATATTGTATTTGTGCGAAAGCCAAATGTATGTAACAGGCAGAAGGAAGCAACTCCGACCCCATAAAGCATCAATAGCTGAGTCGATCTAGCCATGTCCGTCCGTTCGTCGTAGATGCTCCTAGCTCCCGCGCAGATCGAGTTTGTTTCCGATAATCGATAACTTACTCCGTTTCCAGCAATCGATGAAAATCGATATCGATATCCTGTTTTTTGGGCAATTTTGGTAAATAATAAGAACTAGAGTCACCAAACTTGATATGATAAGGATTTTTCTTCATGGTTTTCCCTCTAGATTAATCTTGCATTCAAATCTCGACACCGATTTTTTGGTCGAAATTCATGTCCAAATCTTACCCCAAGATTCGTATATAGACATGGGTCAAAAATTACCACCCCATAACTCGGTCAAATCTCATCCGATTTTCACGAAGTTTTGTGTTTAATTCATGGTTTTCCCTTTAGATTAATCTGGCAGGCAAATCTGAACACCGATTTTTTAGTCGAAATTTATGTCCAATCTTACCCCAAGATTCGTATATACCCATGGGTCAAAATTTACCACCCCTATATCTCGGCCAAATCTCATCCGATTTTCACGAAGCTTGGCTTTTTCTTCATGGTTTTCCCTCTAGATTAATGTGGCATTCAAATCTCGACACCGATTTTTTGGTCGAAATTCATGTCCAAATCTTACCCCAAGATTCGTATATAGACATGGGTTAAAAATTACCACCCCCATATCTCGGCCAAATCTCATCCGATTTTCACGAAGCTTGGATATTTCTTCATGGTTTTCCCTCTAGATTAATCTGGCATTCAAATATGAACAGCGATTTTTTGGTCGAAATTCATGTCCAAATCTTAGCCCAAGATTCGTATCTAGACGTGGGTCAAAATTTACCACCCCCATATCTCGGCCAAATCTCATCCGATTTTCACGAAGTTTGGCGTTTTCTTCATGGTTTTCCCTCTAGATTAATCTGGCATTCAAATATGAACAGCGATTTTTTAGTTGAAATTTATGTTCAAATCTTAACCCAAGATTCGTATATAGACATGGGTCAAAACTTACCACCCCCATAAATCGGTCAAATCTCATCCGATTTACATGAAGTTTGGATTTTTCTTCATGGTTTTCCCTCTAGATTAATCTGGCATTGAAATATGAACAGCGATTTTTTAGTCGAAATTCATGTCCAAATCTTACCCCAAGATTCGTATATAGACATGGGGCAAAACTTACCACCCCCATAAATCGGTCAAATCTCATCCGATTTACATGAAGTTTGGATTTTTCTTCATGGTTTTCCCTCTAGATTAATCTTGCATTCGAATCTCGACACCGAAATTCATGTCCAAATCTTAGCCCAAGATTCGTATCTAGACGTGGGTCAAAAATTACAACCCCCATAACTCGGTCAAATCTCATCCGATTTACATGAAGTTTGGATTTTTCTTCATGGTTTTCCCTCTAGATTAATCTTGCATTCGAATCTCGACACCGAATTTTTGGTCGAAATTCATGTCCAAATCTTAGCCCAAGATTCGTATCTAGACGTGGGTCAAAAATTACAACCCCCATAACTCGGTCAAATCTCATCCGATTTTCATGAAGTTTGGATTTTTCTTCATGGTTTTCCCTCTAGATTAATCTTGCATTCAAATCTCGACACCGATTTTTTGGTCGACATTCATGTCCAAATCTTACCCCAAGATTCGTATATAGACATGGGTCAAAATTTACCACCCCCATATCTCGGCCAAATCTCATCCGATTTACATGAAGTTTGGCGTTTTCTTCATGGTTTTCCCTCTAGATTAATGTGGCATTCAAATCTCGACACCGATTTTTTGGTCGAAATTCATGTCCAAATCTTACCCCAAGATTCGTATCTAGACGTGGGTCAAAAATTACAACCCCCATAACTAGGTCAAATCTCATTCTTCATGGTTTTCCCTCTAGATTAATCTTGCATTCAAATCTCGACACCGATTTTTTGGTCGAAATTCATGTCCAAATCTTACCCCAAGATTCGTATATAGACATGGGTCAAAATTTACCACCCCCCTATATCGGCCAAATCTCATCCGATTTACATGAAGTTTGGATTTTTCTTCATGGTTTTCCCTCTAGATTAATCTTGCATTCAAATCTCGACACCGATTTTTTGGTCGAAATTCATGTCCAAATCTTACCCCAAGATTCGTATATAGACATGGGTCAAAATTTACCACTCCCATATCTCGGCCAAATCTCATCCGATTTTCACGAAGTTTGGCGTTTTCTTCATGGTTTTCCCTCTAGATTAATCTGGCATTCAAATATGAACAGCGATTTTTTAGTCGAAATTCATGTCCAAATCTTACCCCAAGATTCGTATATAGACATGGGTCAAAAATTACCACCCCCATAACTCGGTCAAATCTCATCCGATTTTCACGAAGTTTGGATTTTTCTTCATGGTTTTCCCTCTAAATTAATCTTGCATTCGAATCTCGACACCGATTTTTTGGTCGAAATTCATGTCCAAATCTTACCCCAAGATTCGTATATAGACATGGGTCAAAATTTACCACCCCCATATCTCGGCCAAATCTCATCCGATTTACATGAAGTTTGGATTTTTCTTCATGGTTTTCCCTCTAGATTAATCTGGCATTCGAATCTCGACACTGATTTTTTGGTCGAAATTCATGTCCAAATCTTACCCCAAGATTCGTATATAGACATGGGTCAAAAATTACCACCCCCATAACTCGGTCAAATCTCATCCGATTTTCACGAAGTTTGGATTTTTCTTCATGGTTTTCCCTCTAGATTAATCTGGCAGTCAAATCTGAACACCGATTTTTTAGTCGAAATTTATGTCCAAATCTTACCCCAAGATTCGTATATACCCATGGGTCAAAATTTACCACCCCCATATATCGGTCAAATCTCATCCGATTTTCACGAAGTTTGGATTTTTCTTCATGGTTTTCCCTCTAGATTAATCTGGCATTAAAGTCTCGACACAGATTTTTTGGTCGAAATTCATGTCCAAATCTTACCCCAAGATTCGTATATAGACATGGGTCAAAACTTACCACCCCCATATCTCGGTCAAATCTCATCCGATTTTCACGAAGTTTGGATTTTTCTTCATGGTTTTCCCTCTAGATCAATCTGGCATTAAAGTCTCGAAATCGATTTTTTGGTCTAAATTCTTGTCCAAATCTTACCCCAAGATTCGTATCTAGGCGTGGGTAAACATTTACCACCCCCATATCTCGGCCAAATCTCATCCGATTTTCACGAAGTTTGGCGTTTTCTTCATGGTTTTCCCTCTAGATTAATCTGGCATTCAAATCTCGACACCGATTTTTTGGTCGAAATTCATGTCCAAATCTTACCCCAAGATTCGTATATAGACATGGGTCAAAATTTACCACCCCCATATCTCGGCCAAATCTCATCCGATTTACATGAAGTTTGGATTTTTCTTCATGGTTTTCCCTCTAGATTAATCTGGCATTCAAATATGAACAGCGATTTTTTAGTCGAAATTCATGTCCAAATCTTACCCCAAGATTCGTATATAGACATGGGTCAAAACTTACCACCCCCATAACTCGGTCAAATCTCATCCGATTTACATGAAGTTTGGATTTTTCTTCATGGTTTTCCCTCTAGATTAATCTGGCATTCAAATCTCGACACCGATTTTTTGGTCGAAAGTCATGTCCAAATCTTACCCCAAGTATATAGACATGTGTCAAAGTTTACCACCCCCATATCTCGGCCAAATCTCATCCGATTTTCACGAAGTTTGGCGTTTTCTTCATGGTTTTCCCTCTAGATTAATCTGGCATTCAAATCTCGACACCGATTTTTTGGTCGAAATTCATGTCCAAATCTTACCCCAAGATTCGTATATAGACATGGGTCAAAAATTACCACCCCCATAACTCGGTCAAATCTCATCCGATTTTCACGAAGTTTGGCTTTTTCTTCATGGTTTTCCCTCTAAATTAATCTTGCATTCGAATCTCGACAACGATTTTTTGGTCGAAATTCATGT